AGCCCGGAACACGGCCAACTAACGCATCAGCATTTTGTTAGTCGCGGGGTTGGGGGGGGAGGAGTTTTGGTGCCTGAGAAGTAGGGCGCCAGAAAACCCGGTGAAAGGTGTGCTTCACAAAGCAGATTCCGGGTCATTAGCCAACGACAAGCCGGGTACGATAGGTCCCAACAAGCTTTATTCTCCTCTAAATCAACAGCTCTTGTTTTAGCCGGCTGTCTTTTTGAAGGGACTACTCCGAAAAAAGACACATGACATCGGCGACGCTGAGACCCAAGCTCCAAACGTTTGCATAATTTAAAGGCACTTGGAACACCTGAGCTACACAATTTGACCCAAGCAGGACCTACCTCATGGGTTTGGCTCGCTCTACCCCTTGGACAAAGCTCGAAAAAGACGGGCAATTCTGGAATATTCTTGCTTCCCACCAAAAATCCTTCAAGTGTGCAGTCTGCCTGCCTGAAAGCAGGATGGTCCTTCCCACGTTTTTGGTGGACAAGTTTAGCAGACGAGGAGGGGGTAGTAGTTTAAAATGGGCAACCCCGCTCTAAGGCCGTAGTGAGGGCTTCTGGTGATATCCCCAACAGCATGCGGTGCTCTTTTAATCCCCGCACCACCCCGGCCCTCGCAGAACCCTTGTGGAACCCTGGTGGTGGAACCCTCGTGGAACTTTACCTCAGGGCCGCCCCGGACCACCCCGGAGCCTATCTGGGCTGAGACCCCAAAGCTTTCAGCTGTTGGGGAAAAACACATTGCCCATGTCCTTAGCACCGGGTCTGCCCTGAACTTCCCCCAAAGTGAGATGCCGGCATCATGGTCTTCCCTGCAAGCAAAAACGTTCAGAGACAAAAAACAAGAATGATCAGAGCCAGCCGAGAGAAACTTGCTACTGCAGCCTTGGCATCCTTCGCCAATGATATATTGGTCTGGAGTCACGGGACGCTTCACCGCATTCGTCCTGCGGAAACTTTGCGAAGTGTCAAAGCATTGTTGTGCCGGTTGTGCAAAATCACCATCCCTAACCGGAGTTCATGCGCGCCCTCCTCGTTGCACATATCAATCAGGATGTGGACTCTGAGGGGAATTGCACAAACCTACGGACCGGTCTGAAAAGCTGAGTAAGGAGGAGACTTCCGCCACCTCCAAAACCACCCCTGACCCCTATAGAGCAAGAACCGTGCAGCTACTAGTCGGAGGGGCCACAAGACTACATTCCTTGAAGGTAGAGGTTAGGGCTAGTGGAATCCCTGTAAAGCTGTGAAACCGGTTTGCGAACCTCCGTACTTTAAAAACCTACATAACATGAGCTACAGCAAAGTAATAAGAATGCCACAGAAATGCAAGCGAACGCAGTTGATCGCAGTTGGCCTCAAAAAACACCTGAGAAACTCGGACCTGAGACACCTTGTTCGATATTTGTTGGAGTGACCCAACCCCCCCCAAAGCTCTTGGGAGCATCTGCCTTCCCTGGCCCCTGCTTACTCTGATTTAGTCTGTCTCGTCGAAGAGGACAAAGATGGACAAGAGAAGCCGATCAACTATTTTTGGTGATCAGTTGCCGAAGCTGGCAATCGGAGACTGGTGCCCTTCGTGAGCTTGTTAAACATTGACTGTTGATAAACATTGACTTTGCAAACAAGATGTTTGGCGTTGGCAATGCCCCCATCCGGCAGATCTGCATGTCAGCAACCAATAGTTGGCCGCAAGCCCGCGTTCTTTGCCATGGCCATCTATGAAGGGTGGGGAAGTCTCAGTGCGGTCTCTTGGTGACTCTGCAGAGAAATCCTGCACTTTCAGGAAGTAACGCGCCCCTTCTTAAACAGAATCCCTTGCGGAGGGGATGTCATGTTGCCCCTGCATTTTTCAGAGCTCTTCGAGCTCGAAGACACACAGCGCAGAGGGATTTACAACAGCCACTTTGCCTGCTCAAGACAGCGTTCCACCATCCTGCCAAGTCCAAAGATGCCATCTCAAATAGGCCGGTGTTCCCTAGGTGTTTTCCTTTTGCCCTCCAGAAAAGCCAGGGGTACAAACGAACAACAAACCAGCCACACACACATAAACCAACAACAGTGAAGAAAAACAACAACATGTCCCCCACCCTTGGCACGACATACTGCTGTGGCTCCTCATGTCAAGCACCGGATGCTGGCCTGGCGGCTGGCGATGAAATTTTAAGCCCTCCCTTTTGTAATAACCATACTCCACCCACATGGAAAGAGGGTGGTCCTCTGTAAGGACATTCCTGTAAGAATGATGGTGTGTTGAGCTGCATGCAATCAGGGATAATTCAGCCATAGTTCAAGGAGATCCTCAGTTTCAGTGGTTTTCTCCCACCCGCAAAAAAACCGAAAAGGCCGTAGTTTTCCCCATCTCGACAATGACACATGCCTGCTAAAAGCTGCACGAACAACCGGGCAAGGTTTGATCCGGGTGTAGCGGCCTACGGTGCCTATATAGTCCTCCTCAATGCGATCAGTAAAGGAAGCAATCCCGCTCTCTCTCGATGCATGTTTTTCCACAAACTCGCCAAGTGAGTCGTAGATTCAATCGGAGGCCCCCCAGTTAGCAACTTTGATAACCCCCGACAACAAGCAAGATCATGAGCCCAGTCACGCGAAGCTTCCGCTCTTTTTTGGTTCGTGGGACCAACACCACCGGCCTCGGGTTCAACGTGTCCATGATCAAAAGTCGCGTTCGCCTGCCCTACTCCCCACATGTTGCGCCCAACGTTATTCTTCTTCGTGCCTCCTTGGCTAGATGAAGTGAATTGAAGTGAATTGAACTTCTCGCTTGCCACTAAAGTGGCCTTCAACAAACATGAGTCTAGGAACTCAGGGGATACTATTTGCGCAGCAAAACGCACACACAACAAGTAATGGCTTCACAACTTCCAGTATAAAATGTGCAAGTTGGAAGGGGCCAACACGCAAGTCCAATCCGACAACCAAAATATTGTCCTGTATGTGTGTCTGTGGCCAAGGGTGCCTTTTCGCAGGAAAAAAGGGACACCAAAGGACAATCGCAACTTATTGCCTACTTTGATACACGATATCACCCCCACCCGTGCCTAAACGCAGCCTGTTGCGCGCTTCCAGCAAGGCTGCTCCGATTGTGACTTGCTAGTTCGATCTTTGTTGCTGGGGGGAGCAGTGACACTTCGAAAAAAGGATTGCAAACACAGCAAAGCTGGATTTTAAGAAGGCGTCTGAGCAAACCGACAGGTTTTGAAATGCTGAAAGGGAGGCTCCCCTATAGAGAGCCCGCCGATGCATTGAAAATGAAAGCCAAGATGTAAGCGACAGCTAGCCCAATGGCAACTGTGGCTTGGAGCCATCAGGCGGAAGCGAATGCGAGCAGCTCGACCCCCCTCGCGCTGGCATGCGCTGGCATAGGGTAACACTTGCGATTGAAGGTCAGCATGGTCAGCTAAACGAGGCTTTTTGCTAATTCCCGTAGTGCAAACCAAAACAACACAAACCAAACATCAAGCAAGGCAACCGGCCGACAAATGCACAAATGATTGCACAGCCGTGCACAGCTGGGTTGTCCTCAGCCTCCAACCGTAAATCGTAAATCATGCTTCGCAGGATGTCGGATGATCATGTCGGGATATGGACATAATCACACAGGCTGAGTAGGCAAGTCTCCCACCAGGTTATCTTGTTGGGCCTGGTCGCCGGGAGGGAAGCTCCTCGCAAACATATCCACAAGCCTCGCTAAATCAGCGTTACCAAAAAACAAACTCAATCCAACCGCGCAGCTCGCCAGCGAATATTTGCATGAACTTGCATATTGTCCAATATTGAAGGACAATATTGAAGCAAGCCTCGCCTTGGCTCAACTAACATGTTCATTGACAAGACAAAGTGTTTGATGACATACGGACTCCCGATTCCATAGCGTTTTGTGAGCAAAACAAGAAAACGACGAAAGCCACCGGCTAAAGTGTGTATCTCAAAGTCGGGAAGTGTTTCTTGCCAACTAGGCCGTGTATAAGTGTTTCTTTTCAACTACGACAAGTGACAACTAAACTTGGTAAAATTGACGCTTGCCAACTAAGCCTAATGAAAGTGCTTCATTTGCCAACAAGGCATGGTAACAACTAAGTCTGTTCAACTAAGCCTTGTAAACGTGCTTCTTGTCAACTATGCTTGGTAACAGTGACTCTTGTCAACTACGCCTGGTGAAGGGGCTTCTTGTCAATTCAGCTTTTGAACATGCTTATTGTCAGCTTAGCCTAGCAGAGAAAAATGCTTCTTGTTAATTCACTAAGTCTGGTAAAAGTGTGTCTTGTCAACGAAGCCTGGCTTCTTGCGAACTAAGCCTGTTGAAAGTGCTTTTTGCCAAACAAACACGGGGAAAGTGCCTCCTATCAACCAAGTGCGTCTTAGGTGAAAACACAAAGCCAGCCAACTAAGCCTAGTGAAAGTGCTTCTTGCGTTCTTGTCAACTGAGCCTCTTCAAGGCAACGCGTTGATTTTTTCCTGCTTTTGCCGCTCCCTGCTGGGCTCCAGCGCGTGCATCTGGACCCAATTCCCGACTGGTTCTGAACCTACGCCTGCTTCCTGCCCAGTTTTGTGAAACTCGACAAATGTTTTGTAGCCTAGCCAATTTTCAAGAACAAAAACAATTCCTAGCCCAGTGCCCCCAATCAATTTCCCTGGCATGCCCGACAAGTTCGCGCAAGGTCAATGTCCGTCTGCTTTCAAGGACTTTGCGCGGCAGTAGTATTTTTCTGGGCGCCTACGAAAACATCTTGAGAGTCGTTTGCTCTTCATGGTCCAAATGGCTTCCGCCGGAGTCGCTGTAAAACAAAATCCTTCTTGCTTGCGATCCCCCAACAATTGGTTTTGCAAGACCCAACTGCTTGCCAAAAAACACCTTTGCATATGCACTTGCGGGGTGGAAGGCGCGGAGCCACGTCCTCGGCTACTACCACAAGGAGGACCTCAGGGAGGCTGTTGGCATCTTCAAGATGGCATGGAGAGAAAGGTGGATCAGATGGGTTCCGCGCTCCTTGCCAGGGCCATAGTGACCCAGACTGATCCACAGTCCTTGCATTTCCTCTGGAAGTAGTAGGCATCCGTCCCATGAGTGGCCATCGCGTTGAGCGCGAGCAAAAGCAGCTCCTCTTCTGGGTCGTGATCATCCACCAGCACCACCTCCTGACACGCCGGCACCAAGCTCCATTGGTCCACACTGTTGCCGGTGTGGATGGCTGTGAGGGCCCGATGCACCATGTAGGCCGATGCCTTGTCCTGGTCGCCAGCCTGATCGCTAATCGCAGAGTAGACGGTGCGCGGTTTGGGTCCCTTCGACCCCTTTGATCCTCCCTTGGATGGGGGTGACAATTGGTCCAGAGGGCCCAAGCCAAAGCCGCCTCCACTTGAGACGGCGCCGGTTGACGCACCACCAGCGGAGGCACCGGCAGAGGCACCACCGGCTGAGGCTCCACAGGAGGCGCCTCAGCTCACAAGCGAGCAGCGCGCCCTGCGCATGTTGGAGAGGCAGTCGGCTTACCATGTAGGCCGATCCCCTGTCCTGGTCGCCAGCGTCTTCAGGAGCGCCTCTGTCGGCTTGGCCAGATCCTCCGGATTCATCCGCTCAGCTATCTTCAGGGCAATGCCACTCATGCCCTCCACCAGGCGCAGTCCCAGGCAAGGGCCTTGCTTCTCGCGCTGCTCCTCGTTCATGCTCCTCTCTGAGCATTCTGGTGCGCACCCTGAAGATATGCTCTCTGAGCCCGCCCGGATCTCCGGTGAAGCGAGGCACTCCGCCTTCCAGCCTCATCGCTGATCGCCGTAGTAGGTGGGCCCTATAAGGCCTGGAAAATGGGCCAAAGCCCCGCTACCAGCACATGCCTGTGCCAGCATGCTGAAACCTTGATTCTCACACGGTGTAACGACAAGGGGCGGCAGGCTGAGGTCGAGCTCAACGCCGCCAAAATTTGATCGGCCAGCGCTGATTTGTCGGGGGTAGCGCAGACAGGGGCGCTGCCACACGGGCGGAGCTGCGCTTTCGGACTGTGGCCGAGACGGGCGGCTGTGGCTCCTCAAGAAATCATGTGGTCGGAGATCATGCCCCGGCGAAGGTTGGCGAGCCCCTTGCCCCCGGCGCGGAGGCCACGCTGCAAGAGCTTCGTGACCCGGCGCGTCGGCCGCAGAAGGCTTGCGACGTCGTATCTTTGACAGTGAGAAAAAATAGACCTGACCACTCTGTCGCTTGATCGCCGCAGTCGTGTTGTCTGATGCTCGCCCCGTTGCATCCCTGATGACGTTCTCGGGAAGCAGACAAGCAGCAGACACTTCCCCAAGATGCACAGAAGAGGGGGCAGGTCGGGGTCATCACCCGAGTGGCCGACTTCAGCCAACAACGTGCCCACTCAGGCCGGGAAAGTGGCGCTGGTAGAGGGGCACGCAGGCAACAGCAGCCACAGCTTTCAGGCTGTGAAGAGGCATGCCCGTCGTCACTAAACTCGAATTCGCAGAGGGACCGCAGGCAACTGGGTGTGTGGAACCACTGGTGGTCAGCATCGTGTTGCAGCAGCCCCAGCCAAAGCTAGAGGACGATTGGCCCGAAAGCATTTTTCCACAGGTGCTCATCCAGCCGCGGAGACACCTTTTTATATCGCTGCGGCGAGCGTGTCTGCGCGCGGCGATGCTCAGTGTGTATGGTTACATGAGAGCTCCATCTCATCATCCTACTTTCCTCTCGAACTGCGCCGCGCGATTTCTCACGAAAGTGGTCTGCGCAAGCTGCATTGTTCCAGGCTTCTGCGCGCAAGTTGCTCTCTGCAAGCTGCTGCGCGCAAGTGCTCTGTGCAAGTTGCTCTGCGCAAGTGCTCTGAGCAAGTTGCTCTGCGCAAGTGCTCTGCGCCAGTTGCTCCGCGCAAGCGCTTTGCGCATGTGCTCTGCGCAAGTTGGTCTGTGCAAGTTGCTCTGCGCCTGCTCTGTGCAAGTTGCTCTGCGCAAGTGCTCTGAGCAAGTTGCTCTGCGCAAGGGCTCTGCGCCAGTTGCTCCGTGCAAGCGCTTTGCGCATGTGCTCTGTGCAAGTTGGTCTGTGCAAGTTGCTCTGCGCAAGTGCTTTGTGCAAGTGCTCTGTGCAAGTTGCTCTGCGCAAGTTGCTCTGTGCAAGTGACTCTGCGCAAGTTGCTCTGCGCAAGTGCTGCCGGAGCTGTGGGAATGTACTTCGCGTACTACGTTTGTACTTAAAAAGTTGCGATTTTCAGGCCGGAGCTGCGGGAATGTGCTCCGCGTACTACGTTGTACTTAAAATTTGCGATTTTCCAGCCTGAGCTGCAGGAGCACGCTCCGCGTACTACGTTTGTACTTAAAAGTTGCGATTTTCAAGCCGGAGCTGCGGGGGTGTGCTCCGCGTACTACGTTTGCACTTAAAAGTTGCGATTTTCAAGCCTGAGCTGCGGGGGTGTGCTCCGCGTACTACGTCTGTACTTAAAAGTTACAATTTTCCAGCCGGAGCTGCAGGAGCACGCTCCGCGTACTACGTCTGTACTTAAAAGTTACGATTTTCAAGCCGGAGCTGCCGCGGACCAGGGGGGAATCGAACCCGCGACCGCGGGATTGCGAAAGCAGGCGCACAAACCACGAGACAACCTCCAAAGGCCGTTTCGCGAGCAAGAATATTGCACGGCGCCACAGCGAGAGCACTTCGACACGCACAATCTCCGCAGAGGGTTCGCCGAGACTAAGACAAATTCGCACGGCGCCACAGCGAGAGCGCTTCGACGCGCACGATCTCCGCAGAGGGTCGCGCGCGGCCAGCAGAAATCGTAAAAAGTCCTCAGTTTTTGAACCTCAACCACGCGAATCTCCGCAGAGGGTCGCGCGCGCAGGCTAAAAATCGTAAAAAGTCCTCAGTTTTTGAACCTCCGCGAATCTCCGCAGAGGGTCGCGCGCGCACCGCAGAAATCGTAAAAAGCCCTCAGTTTTTGAACCTCGACCACGCGAATCTCCGCAGAGGGTCGCGCACACACCGCAGAAATCGTAAAAAGTCCCCAGTTTTTGAACCTCGACCACGCGAATCTCCGCAGAGGGTCGCAATCCCGAGCGACGATCAAACTCCCGCCCCGGCGCCTTAGAAACCTAAACTAACTTACATAGCTGCTAACGCCGAAGCTCTAAGCTCTACCTAACCTTGGCTCTATGTTGGCTCTATGTAACTTGGCTCTATGTAACTTGGCTCTATGTAACTTGGCTCTATGTAACTTGGCTCTATGTAACTTGGCTCTATGTAACTTGGCTCTATGTAACTTGGCTCTATGTAACTTGGCTCTATGTAACTTGGCTATGTAACTTGGCTCTATGTAACTTGGCTCTATGTAACTTGGCTCTATGTAACTTGGCTCTATGTAACTTGGCTCTATGTAACTTGGCTCTATGTAACTGGCTCTATGTAACTTGGCTCTATGTAACTTGGCTCTATGTAACTTGGCTCTATGTAAACTTGGCTCTATGTAACTTGGCTCTATGTAACTTGGCTCTATGTAACTTGGCTCTATGTAACTTGGCTCTATGTAACTTGGCTCTATGTAACTTGTCCAAGGGCTCCGCACGGAAGAACCCTTCGCGATGCTTTCGGGAAAAAGGGGCACAAAAAACCAACTGTTCGCAGCGGGCAAACGATCGCCAACCGGGGCTGGTAGCAAGCCACGGACGGGGGTTTGACAAGGGCAGTTGCACCGGGCTCAACGGGGACAATTGCCGCCGCGTCCCCTAAGCCTCCGTGCGGGGCCGGATGTGGCAGCGTGGGCAACTTAGGCAACTGCAATGCATGCCAGTCGATGCCCAACCGGCAGGTAGGCAAGCATGTCCGCACACGGGCCAGTGACAAGGGGAAGCTGCACCAACGCCATCACAAAAACTGGGCCCAAACAAGGGAGGGTCGGTGTGACGTCTCCCCGAGCAGACGCGCAGGACTCACCATTCAGCAATAACAGCGTGGCCGCTATGAGAGCAACCGGATGCATCCGGCGTGGCCACAACCGGAGTGTCCGAACGCACTGGACATACCTGCGTGGCCGTCCTGGGACACCGGCCGCTGGGGCGGCTTTGCTTCATGTTTGCTTCTGTCTTTGCCACGGGGTTGGCGGAGACAGGCGGCTATAGCTCGTGGGTTTGCGTTTTCGGACAGCATGGTTCGACTATGTATTTGCCACGGGTGTGGCTGAGACAGGCAGTCATAGCTCGCCGGTTTGCGTTTTCGGAAAACATGGATCGAATCTGTCTTTGGGGGTAGCGGAGGCAAACGGCCGTAGCTCGTGGGTTTGCGTTCTCAGACAACACCTATGTTCGCCTCTGTCTTTACCACGCGGGTGCGGCCATAGCTCGTGGGTTTGCGTTTTCGGACAACATGGTTCGCTTTGTTTTTTCCCCCTTCTCTTTTTTCCGCTTTTGTCTTTGCCACACGGGTTGCGGAGACAGGCGGCCATAGATTGTGAGTTGGCGTTTTCGGACGGGGGTGGTGGAGACAGGCGGCCATAGCCTGTGGGCTTGCGTTTTCGGACAACACGAATCTGTCTTACGGCCATAGCTCGTAGGTTAGCGTTTTCAAACAGCTCGTGGGTTCGCGTTTTCGGACAACATGGATCGCTTCTGTCTTTGCCACGGGGGTGGTGGAGACAGCCATAGCTCGTGGGTTGGCGTTTTTGGACAACATGGTTCGCCTCTGTCTTTGCCACGGGGGTGGCGGAGACAGGCGGCTACAGCTTGGGGGTTGGCGTTCTCAGACAACATTGTTCGCCTCTGTCCGGAGGCAAACGGCCGTAGCTCGTGATTTGCGTTCTCAGACAACACCTATGTTCGCCTCTGTCTTTAGCACGCGGTGCGGCCATAGCTCTTGGGTTTGCGTTTTCGGACAACATGGTTCGTTGTTTTTCCCCCATCCGTTTCTTCCGCTTTTGTCTTTGCCACGCGGGTTGCGGAGACAGGCGGCCATAGATTGTGGGCTGGCGTTTTCGAACGGGCGGAGACAGGCGGCCATAGCCCGTGGGTTTGCGTTTTCGCACAACACGAATCTGTCTTTGCCATGGGGGTGGCTTCGATACACGGCCACAGCTCGTAGGTCAAACAACATGGGAGACAGGCCTATAGCTCGTGGGTTCGCGTTTTCGGACAACATGGATCGCTTCTGTCTTTGCCACGGGGGTGGTGGAGACAGCCATAGCTCGTGGGTTGGCGTTTTTGGACAACATGGTTCGCCTCTGTCTTTGCCACGGGGGTGGCGGAGACAGGTGGCTACAGTTTGGGTGTTGGCGTTCTCAAACAACATTGTTCGCCTGTGTCTGTGCCATTGGGGTGGCTGAGACAGGCGGCCATAGCTCGTGGTGGCGTTTTGTTTTTTTCTTCGCGCGCCTTTTTCCGCAGTGGCTTCAACGTGTTTTAAGGGGAATTTTAAGAGGCGCCTCCGGGCACGGGAGGTCTCTGCCGCTGTTTTTACGGAGGCCAGCTCCTCATGTGCAGGCGGGCACCCTTCACCGGACGCGGCTGCGCCCGGGCTGGCAGCGTACGCCCGGCTCGCGCCCGCGGCCAAGAAGGAGGACCAGCGCCGGGCAAAGGCAGCCGACACCGACATTGAGGTCCCTGACCAAAGTGTGCATAGCAACCACGGCCCCTGCTTCACGACAAATGCGCGCTGCCGCCCGTTCAAGTGGGCCGCCCCGTGCTCGCAAAACACC